AAAAAAAAAAAAAATGCAATGAAGTCCAAACAGGCCGACTACGGGCACACTGCCCAGGAGTTAGCCCTGCTCCACGAGAAACAGTACTATAAAATAAAAACAATATATTTTGGAAAAAAAAAAAAGAAGACCAAACAAAGATTTCAAGAGTTCCCCTCCCACCCCATTCAACCCTCTTCCACCTCAAGTGCACTATTAACAAGAATTAAATAAATGTCTCACTATAATGAATACTACACAGCTGTTCATAAAACGCCTATCAAAGCCTTTCTTTAAGCAGCTAAACATCACTGGTATCCTACGTAGCTCGGAAGACATCCAGTTTTACACATACGCAATCATTTACCGTGTCTTCACTAAAACTTGGTACTTTTCAACACTGAAAGTGGCCTCCATTTAGATACATCTAAGAAGACAAGTCAGAATAGGGAACATTTGTTTGAAAAGAAGGGGGAAAAGGGAGGTGAGAAGCCAGAAGGCCCATTCATTCAACAGTGTAACTCTGTCAAACAGTGTATCTCTTTCCAAGAACAAAATAAAACCTAAGAACCCACAGGAGCCCTTGAGTTCATGTAGACACAGTTTTCCTCCTAACATCTCCATCTTTTAAAAAGAGCATCCTCTTGTCTTCCCCCCACAAAAATGACAGTGCATGCCAAATATAGATGAGTTAACTAGATTAGAGTCCATTTTCTTTCTTTATTTTATTTTTTTTTTTTTTTTTTTTGTGACAGAGTCTCACTCTGTCGCCCAGGCTGGAGTGCAATGGTGTCATCTCAGTTCACTGCACCTCCAATTCCTGGGAGCAGTTCTCCTACCTCAGCCTCCCAAGTAGCTGGGGTTACAGGTGCAGGCCACGCCCTACTAATTTGTCTGTATTTTAGTAGAGATGGAGTTTCACCGTGTTGGCCAGACTGGTCTTGAACTCCGAGCTCAAGCAATCCACCTGCCTGAGCCTCCCAAAGTGCTAGGATTACAGATGTGAACCGCCGCGCCCAGTGATCAGAGCCCATTTTCAAAACCAAGGGTCACGGAATCATATATGTGAAGAGGCTGGTCATGGTAACATTACCACAAGTTTATGAAACTTTCCAATCATACAGTGTTAAACTTTGCATGCACAAAAGGCTTTACTGAATGTCTGCAACCCTCAGTGAGTTTAAAATGAACTGTTCACCCTTGCCTTTCTTACTTGAGCCCCAAAGGGCTGCCCCTTGTAGAAAAAAAGAACTGTCCCTTGTAGAAAAACTGGCCACCTATCTACTTATGTCCTTGGCTCTCTTATGAGCTGTACGATGCAAAAGAACAATCGCATCTATAAAAACTCTGACAGCTGAGAGGAGAATGCCCAAGGTCTGTTCTCTAGCTTGAGAGCACAGAGTCAAGAAGGGGCGCCAAGATGGTTAATTCAAGAATCGTCATTTACAGAGGCTTACTACATACTAGGTCAGAGGCAGGGACTCAGAACGCAACGACGAGGGCTGGGAGCAGTGGCTCACGCCTGTAATCCCAGCACTTTGGGAGGTCACGGCATGCAGATCACTTGAGGCCAAGACTGTGAGACCAGTCTGGCTAACATGGTGAAGCCCCATCTCTATTAAAAATACAATAATTACCTGGGCGTGGTAGCAGGCACCTGTAATCCCAGCTACTTGGGAGGCTGAGGCCGGAGAATTGCTTGAACCCAGGAGGCAGAGGCTGCAGTGAGCCGAGATCGCACCACTGTACTCTAGCCTGGGTGACAGAGTGACACTCAAAGAAAAAAAAAAAGAATGCAATGACAGGAACAAAATCCACTTAAGATGGCAAACCTTAAAAGTCTGGAAAGTGAAAGTTTAAGAACTCCTTTCAATGTGAATAGGGCTCTATTGTTTTCAAAGCCCCCCTCCTTTTTTTTTTTTTTTTTTTACACCGAAAATTCTGCCCAAATGGAGACTGGAACAATGCCTTGAAACAGTGTTAATTGTCACCATGGAAACCAGAAGAATAAGCCATTTTTGGACGGAGTCTCATTCTCTCACTTAGGCTGGAGTGCAGTGGGGTGATCTTGGCTCACTGCAGCCTCCGCTTCCCAGGTTCAAGCTATTCTCCTGCCTCGCCCACTTAAGTAGCTAGAATTACAGGTGCCCATCACCACGCCCAACTAATTTTTGTATTTTTAGTACAAACGAGGTTTCACCGTGTTGGCCAGGCTGGTCTTGAACTCCTGATCTTAAGTGATCCGCCCACCTCAGCCTCCCAAAGTGCTGGGATTACAGGCGTGAGCCACCACACACGGCCCGAAGCCCTTTTGTGTTACCTGATTTGACCCTCATAATAAACCTATAAAACGATAATTTCTGTTACATGCTTTATTATCCCTGCTAAGGCTCAAAAAGGTTACCAAATTACAAACTGAATCATGTTGGAATGAGATCTGAAAGCGCTCCCATGTTGTTCAGTAGAACTTTTACAGACAGACACTTGCATTTAAAACATTGTCTCCCAGAGAGGGGAGAGCAGGGCAGAGAGGTTAAGTAAGGTCACACAGCCAATAAAAAGAGAGGGGTTGGAATTTCAGTCAGTTTCTCACTCCAGGACCAGAGAGAAGGAGACACCACACAGCCAGGGCGGAGACACCCTGAGCCGAGAGCTGGGGATGGGAAACTGGTCCCTGGGGCATCAAACAGGAAGCAGCTGGCGCTGGGGCCAAGCTGAAACCCAACTCTTGCCAAACTCACAGTCCTGGGACAAGGGCTGTAGCCCAGTTCAGCATCCCCCAGGGCCCGGGTCAGCTCTCCAACTGGCTTAGACTATACTGGCCTGGGAACCTCTTGACAAAGCGGAGGTCAAAGATCAAAGAGCAACCGAGCATGACCATTCCAAACAGAGACAGCTGGGAAGGCGCCATCTGTCACTCCAGACCCAAGTCTCCAAGCCTACCGGTCCAGCTCCCAGCCTGTGGTCTCTCCACTCCACCTGGGAGACTGTCCCCAGGGGACTGGCCCCAGGGCTGATCACAGCTCAGCCTGAGCGCCTTCCTCTTCGCTGCTCTGGCAGCTGGAAACGGGAAAGGACCGTGGAACGAGATCATTTCCGTATGGTAACCTCCACCCCCTTCCAGATAAACAAAAGACCCTCCGGGAAAGGTGACCGATCCCGATACACACTCACAGACGGAACTGACAACCTTCACACCTTGGAAGCAAATAAAGTTCTAGTGAAAAAAAAATCAGCGGTCCAACGACGAATACCTCGGAGGCTCTCAAAGCGGACGCGAATTTCAGTGTCTGCACAAGTGCAGCCGGGTCTAAAACCGGGAAGCTGAGCGCGGAGGCGCGGCCAGCGCCAGCCTCGGGGCAGGCCGACTTCTGGCATCTTTGCTGAAACACAACTTTACAAAAGAAGGGCCGATGCGGTCACTGTATTTGTTTTTACCTGCAAGAGGCTGACCTTGGAGACCAGAAAAGAACTTTAAAAATCAACTCAGAAGAGTGAGGAAGTGAACTTGTTGGCTCTCAAGGGCGCAAAGCAGGCTCTTAAACGCCCGTCTGCGGTGTCTACACGCCCAGAGGGTGTCGTTTTCATGACGCCCCGCGGGTGCGTGGGAACCGGGCGCTGCCCGCGCGCCGGCCTGGCCGCTCCGCGCGCTCTGAAGGTCGCCTCACTGTCACCTCGCAGAGCCCAGGCGCAGATCCAGGCCACGCCGCGGGGCCGACACGAAGACCCGGGGCACTTTTCCGGGTCCGGGGGCCGCGGGCAGGTGCGGCCGGGGCGTCAGGAGCGCGTCCCCGCAGGGTCCCGGCCTCTCCCGCCGCCCGGTCTCACGCGGACACTCCGGACGCCGCGTCCCCCATCCCCGGCCCGAGGCGGCGGCGCGGGAGGGCGGACCCCGGCTTACCCGCAGGAGGCGCGCGGAGCGCGAAGCGGCAGGCGCGGTCCCGGGGCTCGGGGGTGCCGGGCGCTCGGCTCTTCCCTCGCCGCCTCCGCGTCGTTCTCGGCCCGGCCCTGGCCGCCCGGCGGCTCCGGTTCCCTCCGCTGCAGCCTGCCGGGCGGCTCCGGCACTCAGGGGCGGGGTGTCGGGTCCGGTACGCTCCGCCTGCCCGGGCGCTCCTGGGCTCGGGCCCCGGTTCCGACCGCGGGGGTCGTCGGGGCGTGCGGGGCTCCGGGGGCGCTCAGGGGCGCCCGGGCTCTCCCTCCTGTGGCCCCGCTCCGGGGGGGCCTGGCTCGAGGCGCGCGGGCGTCACGGGCGGCGGGGGCTGCGGGCGCGCGGGGGCGGCGGGCGCGCGGGCCGGGGGGCGGCGGGCGGGGGCGCGGGGTCCGATGCGGGCGGCGCGGCGCGGCCTCTCGCCATGGCTCCCCCGCGCGCGGCGGCTCCACCCCCTCCCTCCGCGCTGCCGTCACCGCCCGACGCGCGCCGAGCCCTCCCCCTCCGGCCCCGCCCGCCGCCCGCGCCGCCACCTGCGCGCCGCCCTCCGGGATTCCCCGCGGCCACGTCCCGGTCCCCGGAGCCGCGCCCGCCCCTCGCCCCCGGCCGCCCCTGCACTGTCACCCACGCCGCGGGGCGCAGAGAAGCGTCCGGTCGGGACTTGGACCCGGAAAAGGTGATCGCGCCCTCCCCGAGCGGTTCCCTCCCGAGTCCGGGCGCTGAGAGTCGTGAACGCTGTGGAGGTCCAGCCGTTCTGTCCCCGCAGGGCAAAGACGCCCGTGGGTTTAAATGGAGGAGGATGAGCTGGGCGGGGAGGAGGCTGCGGGGGACGGGGCTGGCGTTCGGGGCAAGATGCCACCCAAGGGTGCGGCGGTGGGGGCGGGGGACAGCACGGGGGAGTCAGGAACCGACCCAGGAAGTCCGGCTCGCAGGTCACCCTGTTTGCAAATCACTTGTGGACGGTTTAACGGGGCGCAGCCCACATGATCGCATTTCCAGCTGAGGCTGCCGAGTCTACTTCTTCCTCTCTGCGCAGGGGTCACAGAGGACATGGGGAGGACGTGAAGACTCAGACCGGATCCAAAGGTGTAAGGAAACTGAACGCCGCGAAAGCTGGTTTCTCATGCCAGTGTAGACCTGACTCGGAGAGATCATCCAGTGTGTGCTGGAGGTCGGCTCCGTGGGCGCCGACTCGAGGGGCACTGACTGGCTGCAGACACTTGCCTGGGCTGATGTGTCTCCCCACAGGTGGTTCAGACCTGTTCGTAGCAAGAGCAGAAATAGGAACTATCCAAGGAGGCAGGCAGGCCGCACCGTGACCGGGTGATCCAAATTTCCATCGCCGGTGAGAGCAGATGGAGTTCGTGTCCACATCAGCCGCGCAGTATCCCCGGGGACAGCGCATCATCCGAATCGTAATGATGAAACACCAGACAACCCCAAATAAGGGCCATCCATTAAAAAGAGGAAGGGGCCGCATTGTGCAAAAATGCCAGTGTCCTGAAAATCAAAAGAAAGCTCGGGAAATGTTCCAGATTAAAGGGTGCTAAAGACTCAGGGCAACTTAATGCCATGCCTGATCTAGGCGGCATCTTGTACTAGAGGAGGGGAAATGCTTCATCAGCATGCCGCTGACAAAGGCGGAATACATGTAATAGATTAAAGCATTGGATCAATGCTAAACTTACTGACGTTGATAACTTCTACTATGGTTATGTACAAAAACATCTCATTCTTAGGACATACACACTAAAGATCTTGTAAGAAAGGTCATAGCATATACAGCTTACGTTCAAATGATTCAAGGGAAAAAATCTTGATAGGAAAAATGATAAAGCTAAGTGGGCAGTAAAGGTAAGCTGCATATTATCAGTGAAGCTGCATATGGGGTGTACTTAAACATTTCTGTACGTTGGAACTTATTTCCAAATAAAAAGATTTGGAAAATCCATCCCGTTGGGGGATGAAGTAAGGAGGGGAGAAAGCAGGGATGATGTAAAGGAACGCAAGGGATCCTGTGACTTTGGAACTGTTAAATGTCTTGATTACGGTAGCACAGGTGATAGAATTATCTAGAACTTAATACACATGCAAATGAGTGCGAGGAAAACTGGGAAAATCTGAGTAAGATAGGTTAACTGTAGCAAGGCCAGCATCCTACTATATGATATAATATTGAGGTTTTGCAAACTGTTGTCTGGGGAAAACTAGGCCAAACATACTATTTCTTACAACTGAATGTGAACCTACCATTATCTCAATACAATTTTTAATTACAAAAGAATCATTTTCAGTTACAAAAAAACTGTGTGTAAATGGGCATAGCATCCGGGAGCATGCCAGGGCAGATACGCCGGAGCTCTCGTAGCGGATCCAGAACAGACACGGTGCTGTTACCGGCAGTGAAGGCTCTCAAGAAAAAAATTAGACTGTTGGAAGTATAACTGACAGATCAGATTCATTCCAGCGCTGTAATTTAAGAATCCTAGAGCTGGGGGTTCTTTGAGATCATCTGGTCTAACCTGCTCATTTTCAGGAAACTGTGGGCAGAAAAGTAGTGTGTGTCCACAGGAGCATCAAATTAGCGGTAGACCTGTAACTACCACTTGTCTGCCAAATATGTTCCATTCTCTTTGCACCTTTACCAGCTGCCTGCCGCTCCCTAGATCCCTGAGATTCAGTTAAGGCTGGTAGAAAATTTCGAAGTCATTCACTCTTTGGAGTCCCTGCTTTGTTCTGTGGTGCCAGATGACAGGCATCTGGATTCTGCTCCCAAGGAGTAGGGGCAAGTTTCCATCGCCTACTCCCAGCTCCCAGGAAGCAGATGGCAGGCGGAGCCCCAGTGATAGCCCCAACTCTGGACCTGCCAGAGCTGTTGAGCTGCTTGGAGCAGCTGCTGGCCTGCTGCTGCTGGAAGCCAGTGGAACAGGAACCTGGGAGCGAAGCAGTATGATTTCGAGAAGGGAAAACAGTCACGTTCCCTGCAAGTCCTTGCTTTATGCGGTATCACGCAGGGGTCCCGGCAACAGAAGCAACTGGCTTCTCGTGAGCCACGGATAGCCACTGTACTCTTTCCTTTTGTTGAATCAAATTGAAATTAATCCATGTTTATTTGCATTTGCCAGCCCTCGTTAATAATTGTGGGAAAATACAAAATAGAGTATCTCATCCCTGCCTGTTAGGAAACAAAAACGCAGCCGGGGACCCGAGGTGGAAAGGTTGAAAGTGACTCTACAAAAGCAATGAAAAGGCTCGCAATATCAGCTGGAGTTCCCCAAGAGCAGCGCTGGAGAAGGACTTCTGGACAGATACTTTCTTTTGGGAAATGATCCCATAGGATATGGGTGGAAAAAGAATTTGGGACCAGGAAGGAAAGAAAGCCAATCCAAGGATGTGAAATTTCTGTGAACAACTGGAGCTTAGTCCCACGGAGCCCCCGAGGAACTGCGCAGAATGCAAGGCAGAAGGAGGGAATATTTAGCCACCAGTTTCTATTTCCCATTGGTCAACTTGGTGCTGAGGCCAGGAGTGATGGCTCACACCTGTAATCTCAGCACTTTGGGAGGCCGAGGTGGGAGGAGTTCAAGGCCAGCCTAGGCACCACAGCAAGACCCTATCTCAACAAAAGAACAAGTTTAGAATTAGCCAGGTTTGAAGGTCTATGCCTGTAGTTCCAGTTACACAAGAGGCTGAAGCAGGATTGCATGAGCCCCTGATCTCAAGGCTGCAGGGAACTGCAACCAAACTATAGCACTGCAGCCTGGGCAACAGAGCAAGACTTTATCTCAAAAAAAAAAGTAGATGCAGCATGGGACATATACACAAGACGGCTGACACCAGCCTTGTTCATTGCTGCCGTCCCAGCACCAACAGCAGTGCCTGACTCATGGATGCCCAGTCACTGGACAGTGAACAAATGATGGCCGGGGCCTATAATCGCAGCACTTTGGGAGGCCGAGGTGGGCGCATCACCTGAGGTCAGGAGTTCCAGACCAGCTGGTGAACATGGTGAAACCCCATCTCTACTAAAAATACAAAATAATTAGCCAGGAGTGGTGGCATATGCCTGTAGTCCCAGCTACTCAGGGGGATGAGCTAGGAGAATCACTTGAACCTGGGAGGCAGAGGTTGCAGTGAGTGATTCAAGATCGCCCCACTGTACTCAAGCCCGTGTGACAGAGCAAGACTCCGTCTCAAAAAA